AAGTGGCTTAACCAATTCCTCCGCCAATACGTCGATTACGCCCAAACCAACTGGAAGAAGCTCCTGCCAATGGCAGAGTTTGCAATGCGTAACGCAGCTAGCTCTTCTACAGGCATGTCACCCTTCTTTGCAAACCACGGTTATCACCCTCGAATGTCTTTCGGCTCACCACGTTCTATCCCTAGGGATTCTCCTCAGCACCTACGATTGCGGTACAACGAAGCACTGGAGTTTACTCAAAAGATGGACGATATCCTGTCCATGTTGCGAGCTAATCTCAGTGTTGCCCAAGATAAGATGGAAGAGTTTGCAAACGCTAACCGACGCCCTGCTCCGGCCTATAGAGTTGGGGACATGGTTTTACTAAGAACAAAGAATATCACCTCAGCAAAACCTATCCCAAAGTTTGATCAGAAGTATATCGGACCTTATCGAGTTACTAGAATCGTCAACTCCCACGCCTACGAGTTACAGCTCCCGTACGAGCTTAGCGGTATCCACCCAGTATTCCACACCAATCGCCTGAAACCAGCACCTGGCAAGCCTTTACCAGGACAAAAGAACCCCCCGCTACCACCTATTTCAGTGGATGCTTCTGGCCAACCAGAATATCTGATCGACAAGATCTGTGACAGCCGTCGCACAAAGACCCGCGGCTTTGAATACCTGATCCGTTGGAGGGGTTACGACGAAGAGACGTGGGAACCACTAGTTAACATAATAAAGGCTTCCGGGAGTATTAAAAAGTTCGAGAAAGACTTCCCTCGGAAGTTGAAACCGAGTAGAAGGGAGCGTTTAGTGGCAAAAGAACAGGAAATTCGTGGGCTAGAAGAGACAGGAGACTCCGAAGAAGACCCATAAAGCACTACTACTAGTAGTGGTGAGGGGAATGATTTGAGAGATACAGACTGGCATCCAGGGGATTAAGGGAGGACCTTATGTGACGATTTTGATTTGTGTATAGTGAATGTGGTTTTAGTCACGTGAGCCACGAGGCGACGAGCTCAACTTCAAATAGCTTCAGGTCCTGGGACCTCTTTCGCTCCTCGTAGTCAATTTAATCTATCAACCTGTACTGTCCTAGACGTGCATTCTCACACTCATTTATTATAGAGCTAATATATTATTAAATTATTAATTAAACGTTAAATAAGAGTATACTTTTAATCTTAACAAAAGGACTAGCCTTTTAATAAGAAACTACTCTTTGCGAGCTTGTAACAACAATTAGTAGATTTGTTATTATTGTAGACAAGTGATCGAATATATCAAAAGATATAAGCAAGCTTGCTTAGTCACCCTCAATACGCAAAACACATCCTATATCACAAGAACCTCATTGCTATACACCTTCCCAGAAATTATTTGGGTTTAATGGTATGAGCAATGTATTAGATCTAGTATCTCCTGATTCTCTTTTATTCATTGTTGAATTACAAGAAGCAAAAATGAACAAAATTGAATGAACATAATTAAGAATGAACTTAATTGAACAATGGGCTCTGGAGTAGTGAATTCCGTGGATTCCATAATTAGTGAATGAAATCTACTATACTCACATTTCACCCACTCTGTCAGATATCCCCCTGTTAAGCACGTTTTTGTTAGTCATTTAGTACTCAAAAGAAGACCAACATTCCACCAGAGTTGGTTTACCAACACACCCAACAATTCTCAACTAGAACCAACCTGAACCTAAACGACCTCCTTCTCCCCCAACCACCCAATGGAGACAGCAATCCTCTCAAAATTTCCTCCGGGCTCTAGGCTCATCTCAGAAACCCCCCACGGGAACTCGAAATGGGCGAAACCAACCATTGAACCAACTCTTCTAACCGTCATCCTTCCCGATGAATCACGTCACAAATACTTCCTAAAACGCACGTCATCAGCAGAGGGCCGAGAAATGACAGAAGGTGAATACGAGTCTATGTCAGAAATCTACAAGTTAGCCCCAAATTTCGTTCCCAAACCCCATTCATGGGGAATTTGTCATTCCGTCGATGGCGAAGAAATCCATTTCTTCATCCAGGAATTCATCGAAATGACAACTCACATTCTGCCCGACCCCGAGAAGCTTTGTCGAAAACTTTCCAGCCTTCACAAAGCTAGTGTTCCTGGAAAAAACTTCGGATTTCACGTCCAAACCTCCCAAGGACGCACACTTCAAGCCGTCAACACCAAGTTTCCAACCTGGACACCCTTTTTCACACACATCCTCAAGCATATCACAGAGGTAGACATGTCCGTCAACGGACATTGGGTTTCACTCGCGACCCTCGAATCGCGAATCTTTACGCATGTAATTCCTCGCTTAATCGGCATTCTGGAGGAAAAAGGTCGAGAAATCAAGCCCTGCTTGATCCATGGCGATCTCTGGGAGGGCATCATTGGAACCGTAGTTTCAACGGGAGATATCGTGGTTTTTGATGCCACTTCCTATTATGCGCACCATGAAATGGAGGTTGCGAATTGGAGATGTCATTATAATAAAATCCATGATGAGAGATACACCAGGACGTATTTGAAATATTATCAGCCAAGCGAGCCGAGAGAGGAATGGGAGGATAGAAATAGGATGTATTGTATTTACTACAATATTCTTTACTCGGTCAATGATATGGATCAAGGAATGGCGGTTAGGCAAACGAATGTTCTCCTATTCTATTGTAAGGCAAAGAATACATCTAATTTTTAAAACAATAGTGCTTTCGACGACATGTATTATCTTATTGATAAGTACGCCGCCTTTCCCTACAGGCGAAGGTCCTCCACGTTTGATAGAAGCAGAAAGAGTTGGTCTTTCAGCTGTACGTGATCACACTAAAGTGTAAATGGGAATTTGAGACATATTAGGTCACAAGGGCAAGCAGCGCTGGTAAGTGATCGCTCTCAGTCTCTGTCAACGATAGACAAGCAATCAATATACCACGATCTCTTGAGATTCTCAAGACTAGTCGGTTTTCTAATGCCCTTTGCTATACGGCTTCGATATTTTGCTAAACGGCGTTAAAATAATATGGTCCCTTAGCTAATTATCTGAAGGTATGAAGTAAACAATTTGAGTATCCCGTAACCTTATTAAGTTGTAGACCTTGTCCTTGTGCCCTCGCCTATGCCAAGGAACTCACTATAAGAATACCTTTGGTTACAACCTTAAAATCAGTCCCCCGAGAATATCCTTATATCTAGGTTTGCCAGTACTTCTAAGTAGGAGGTTTTCCGAGGGTCTCGCGGAATACCTGCGTTACCAAATCACAAACTTGGACCCCAATTTGGGCAGAGGTAATCTCCGTGAGCGCAGTGGTATTCGGAGTATACGAGCTTTCCTGCCGGTCACATCAGTCCCTCCTACCCGGAAGAAACGAGAATGATTCAATGATACCAAGCCAAAGTGAGGAACGGATATTAAAAGGCTGAGCCCACAAGCCTGACAACCATGATTTTCCAATGACTTCAGAAAGTAGGATTCCAGTCCGCAATTCGATTACATGCCAACATGAAATCATGTGCTTGAAGAAAATTGGATCAATAATAACATCAAGAGACAATAAAAATACCAATCATAATTAAAAAATTCATTCATTCTGGAGGAAATATCTAATCTCTATCAACCGGGGTATCAACAATGCTATCTTCCATCTGCTCTTTCCATCTAAGGACCCAGAATGGGGTTCAGCTTCTCAGAAGCTTCAAGAATTCGAAACTACTGCCCACCTGTGAAAGTCTAGACCCATTCTAGAGTTTCCCACTGCATTCTCTCAATGCGCTTTGTGCGCGACGGCAACTGTCGACCTTGGTCGCCAAGGAAGCCGGTCTCCCTATTTCAACCTTGAGGTTGATGTGAGATTCATCTATTCCATCTTCGTCCCGCGGACAGGGTTAATCGCATGATCTTGGGTTCCGACCCTCGAGTCAGCTCCAAGTACCCCCTCGTTGGTACTCGCTCTTCCCTTGTCACTCTCATCACCGCTTCCAGCAATGGTCTCATTACTCTTCTCCCCAAGTCTGAACTCCTCATCTTCGTTGGAGAAGCCGTATTCGTGGGCGAGAGCTTTGATTTGCTGGTCATTAAGGAATGGCATATCATAACTAGCCTTGACATAGCTGATGTTTTCCAAGTAACCCTTTGCGAAAATGAGATCGATTTCCTCGAGGGAACGCCTCTTGGTCTCGGGGTAAAAGAGGTAGATGATAGGGATGAATGTTGCGTTGACAACAGCGAAGAAAAGGTAGGTACCCCACTTGATTTTATCAATCATGATTGGGACAATCATGACTACCAAAAAGTTGAAAAGCCTATTGGATGGTTAGCGTTGAAGATTATTGAACGATAATGATTACGAACCAGTTGGTACAAGTAGAGACGGCATTTGCTCTTCCTCTGGTTCTGATTGGGTTGATTTCGGCTGGATACAACCATGGCAGAGGCAACCATGTCGCTCCAAATGCAGCGATATAAGTGAAAAGACCAACCCCTGCTCCCTTACTTGATGGTCCTTGACCGTTCCGGGGAATAAGGCAAGCGAAAATGAGAACCATTGATAGTCCTTGTCCAGCAGTTCCCCAGAGGAATAGCTTGCGGCGGCCGGCTCGCTCAATGATGAACCAAGAGACAGTTGCGAAGGCGGCGTAGACAATCATGTTGACACCTCCAAGAAGAAGCGCCAAATGATGGGTCGTGCCAATGGACCTTTGAAAAAGGATTGGAAAGTAGTAAATGACGGCATTGCAACCTCCAATTTGTTGGAAAAATTGCGATGAGGAGCCAAGCATCATTCTTCGGAAGTGTTGAGTCTTTCCACCCGTGAAGAGCGCAGAGTAAGGTGTCTTGCCCGCCTCTCCACTAGCCTTGATACTGTTCAAGATAACAGAATGTTGCAAGACAACCTCTGTGTCGTTTGTGTCTTTGCCATGCAAGGCTGCAAGGACGTTCATGCCCTCTTCGTGACGATCCTGACTGAGAAGCCATCGAGGGGATTCTGGAAGGTAATAGGTTCCAACAATCAAGATTATACCAAATACAACCTGGAAAGCGATGGGAAATCGCCAAGTGAGATCGTCAGGGCCGTAAGAAGCACCATAATCGATCCAGTATGCAATAAGGGTTCCGAATGCAATAACTCCTCCTTCAATACAGATAAGAAGACCTCGATTAGTTGTGCGACTGCACTCGGCTTGGTAGGTTGGTATTGTTGAAGTGTTGATGCCATTGCCAATTCCGGTAATAATTCTTCCAATAATGAATTGGATTGTAGCATTAGAACCTTTGATGGCCGCAACTTGAACAATTACTCCGAGAATCATAATGATTCCTCCAAGCATAATCTAAGTTTTATTAGAACATTGTAAATTGCATCGGTATATGGGGTACAAACAGATCTCCTTCGTCCAAGACTGTCTCCGAACCACAAAATACCCATAGCACCGACCAAGCATCCGATTTCGTAGATTGCGGTAACAAATCCTTGGTAAACAGGTTTGTCTTTGGTTTCAGGGAAGTATTCCATGAAAGGTTCAGCGGAAATTATACCGCTCATCACTCCTTGATCATATCCAAACAACAGAAACCCAGTTGTTGCAATCGTCGAGATCAAGAGTCCGAGGGGCCGACCTTTCAATCCGGCAAACGTTTGGGAGGTTCCCCCGCTGTTCGCACTTTCATGGCCCATGTTGGCGGTTTTGGTTAAGAAATATACACTTCAAAATGAATCAATTCCTGGCCGAGCCAGTTCGCAATTGGGTAGAGGAAATGCAACGAGAACGGCAATCTGATGGGACAATTGATGAACTCTGGAAAGAGATAGAGAGAGGGGGAGAGAAGTAGCAGAGAGAGGGCATTGGTACCCTATATATACTTGTATCAGGGCATAAGTTTACTCCAACCCCCGTAACTCGCCATTGGAGACGGGGTCTCCACAATTGCGCATGCTGCGCGCGGCCGAAGATAACTCCGGATATTTTACAAGATCTTCCTTCGTTCTCGTTGGCCTGCTTAGATTTAACCACGTCAATTCTTTAAGCGTGGGGATAGGCGATGTCATTTACGCTCGAATACTGGAGTAACTGCGGTGTAGCTGCATCCTGGAATCGCTTGGCTTGGATTGTGAGGTTGATCAACGGTGATAATTCCTTATCCACGCACAGAAGCCGATAAGCAGGAAATATGATTGGGTTTTGGATCCCTGACGAGGGGAAGGACCCTTTGAATATTAGCAAAAGTGGACTTTTCCTGACGTCATGCTCGAACTGCGGGGACGTGAAGTGGAAGAAGGGAGGTGTGCCGAGGAAAGTGGGAATTTAAGAGTTAAGAGCCAAGGACGGGAGGCGTGCTTGAGTACTGAGATCGGCTTATTTTTTGGAGCCGCAAACAACGACTTGAATATCGAAATGTTGGAGGGTTTCTGAATATCGCATTTTCATCGCCAGAATAGTCAAACCTGCCCGAGTTCGAGTAACACACCCCGCAACCCCAAAAACGAGCTGCAGATGGCTGAAGCTCGGGACCACCCACATTTTCATGCCTGTCGCCCGGCCAGGAAGTAAAATGGGACTTCCTGGGTTGTGTGCAGCGAGCAGTCACTTCTTCACAAAGTCGTGGTACCGGATGGCAAGAAGCACCGAAACATGCCCGAGCAAAGACTGGAGAACTGCAAATCGAGGGGGGGTGTCTTCTGCTCTCATAGGTCCATGGCACTTCTCGAGTGGAACCGAGGCTGCACTTGCGAGTCAATGGGGAAGGCTGGGTGTAAACAAAAGCGGAGGACCCTGAGGATCTCGGAGGAAAAAGGTTTAAAGAAACCTCAGGCGAATCCGTGATTAGTCTGCTGCAAAGCGCCGGAGCAGCAGTGCAGTGTCTGAGAGATGCGGTCAACTTTCTGGGTGATAGTGACCCGGTCTTTCTCCGCCGCGTTGATGTACGAGATGTGCTCCCTGGCGAAGACGTCGAATCATGAGCAGGAAAACAGAAAACCGCTGTGGGAAAAGTCGGGCAAGGAGTTGTGTGCTTTATAACGGACTTCGATAACATACTTCAAACGTTACAATCGGTCGATGTAATACATGTAGCTTGCATCCATACATGCCATAGAATTCCGCGTGACCGTTGATGGTGTTGCAGCGAGTCTGAAAGAGGATGTTACTTCGTAGGAGCTAAGGGTGGCGGGGATCGATCCGACGTTCTCTGGGTTCTCTGGTGGGCCTCCGTAGCTCGGTCGGTGCATTCCCGATCGGTTTCAAGCGAGGTCCCGTGACCACCCTTGAACATCAACAAACCAGATTCCCACAAGAATTATCCAATCTGTACATGTGAGAGTACGCACGGCTGAGGTTGTAACTAAGCATCGTCAAGAATGCTTAGATCGGAAGCAGCGGAATAATTCCCAGAGTTCGCCAACATGTGCTTGTATGAAATGCTCCGATCATTCGCCAATAGTGGGTAGGTCTTGGGTTTTTGATCCATTATTACAGTAGAAGCCAATTGCAGAAAAGAGATAGCAGCCTGTTCTCCAAGTTATCGCTAGAAATCACTCGAGTTTGGCAACTCGATTATGGTGCTCTTTTGCATCCCCTTTCCCCACGAAAAGACACTTCCCCATTCTTGGATTCGTCGCATTTTACCGGGATTTTCCGGACATCGCAGATAAACTTATTAGCCGCCACAACCGATGTATAAACATACCATGTCGGCAATGCAAAAACGATAAAACATAGCTTGCCTGCCTGCTCAATTCCTGTGTCCATGTTTATTCATACATGCGAGAGACGCGAGCTAGGCTTAATTTAGTCGAAGCAAGCCAAAGCATTAGAGGTAGGAAAAACAATAGTTCTCGCGAGAATTCGACCGGAAGAAAACATGATAATCTCATGCAGTTCCCAACTAGCTGCTAATTGATTTCAATGATCTTTCTTGGTGTTTTGTGCGACAAGGGTGTCCATATGGGGGTAATCTCATAATTCTCATTTTATGTTGTCCGTCATCTAATCCTTCATGGAACTCCTTTTTTTTTCGTATGTGTCTAGTGCTGTATGTCTCAGCCTGATTTTTTTGGCCCCTCTATCAAATCCCTCAAGGTTAACCGCGCGACGTGCAACAAAAAGTCAAAATGACCTATCATGGGCGACCCCAGAATGTGGGGGCGGGAACAAGCGAACCGTTAGCAGCCACCAGCAACGAGTCTCCTCGCTTAGCGGTTCCCCAGCTTCTGTGGCTTTACTTGCCTTTTCCTTTCTTTTTTGCCATTTGAAACCTTATTTAAGACGCTATTATGATACGATAGTTGCCTTGGCATATAAGACGAAGGATCTCCCAAGACGGCGCTAATGCATACATCAAATAATACTGTTTATGGAGAAAAGTTCAAAGCAGTTGTGACATACTCGCAGGGAAATTGAGTTTGCTTCCCCTGGTTTTGGCGCAAGACTAACAGGTTGATTAGGTAAGAATAAAGTTGTCGATTGTGGGTTGTGGCTTCCAACATTGCTCTTCCTGATTGGAGGAAATATCACCACACAGAGAGCATTTGGCGGTGAATGCTCTGACTAAACCAGCTCGCCACCTAACTGTACCTCATACTGTTGTATGTTATATTTAAGTTACGTAAGTCCCAAAACTCACCACTACTAATTTCACTTTCATGAACCAGTTTCTAATATGACAGTGCTCATGCTACATTGCCTCGCGTCTTACTTACCCGTCACAAGACGCCAGTGTCGCCATACAACAGTAAGTGCCTAAATATAAAAGCAAGCAAAGTATAATCTGTTACTCAACATCTTTCAGTTTGCTATGCCCTCGAATCCTCGACTTTCGTCTAAGATATTCCAACTCGATTTGACCCCGACAGAAGAACGCAAAGAGGTCCTCAAGAAGCTCAACAACTCCCTGTGTTAGCGTATGGCTTTTACCGGGTCCTATTTCGTTGGATCGATGAGCAGTTATTTATAATATCCGTGCAAAAACGTTTGTCAATTTAGTAATAAAACTATGGCCCAAAGCAGATTCCATCAACACAGAAACGGGATTATTCAAATAGTAAGCAAAGTACAATAGGAAGCATGATACTTTTCAATGAGATACAAACCAAATAAACATGGCATCGAATTGAATCTTTCTGTTCGAGTGAGGCTCCAAGTTTTCATGAAGTAGAGGCGAAGGGGGGTGGGCGCATATCATTTTAAAATACTCTTGAGCTAGAGCCATTTGCAGAATTATGTTGGGCCACAGGAAAACTTTGTGAAGTAAGAACTTACTGGCAAAATGTATCACTGGGAGCATCCATGAGGTAACTCTGGTAGCTAGGTAGGTACGTATTTAGCTGGATAATTTGTCAGGAAGTCAAGATCGTCCTTGCCCTGGCTGAACTTATTCTTTGCGTGCGAGAACGACTCGAGATCGTTCCTTCCCCTATTGGGCCATGCCAAGAACAGGTTGAAGTGTTTTCAGGTTCAGGCTCAGAGTCGAAGGCACCTTATTTCTAGGACAGAGGAGAAAGGGAATGAATGGGATGCTTCTGGATCCACTTGCCACCACTTGTGTGACTATAAACCCTCCTTCTCCCACCCCCTTACTTTGCTTTATGTTCCTCCTATACATATCAGCTTTTCGCGGACACGAACGTACAGCGGGACGTGTTGGTTTTGGGGATGCTTCAGCTCCTGACGTCGAAAAACTTGGGCTGTATGAGGGTCTTTCCAAAATAGAATGCTCTTCTGAATGGCCAAATACTGTTACACTGCCTCTCCCTGGGTGACCGTCCGATTGCGAGTGGGGGGTTTGATGTCAACGTGTATGTTTTTATAGGCAGTGCGTCGTGTCAAGTATTCAAGTGTCTCAGTAGGAAAGCTGCATATCAATTTGCCACCTGCATAGCCTCTGTAATCGAGCTGAGCGAAGAGTAGGCGTCAAGCCAGTCATCAGTTGCTAGATATTAGCAATCTAGATAAAGGTGTTTTCCTGGCTGACTCATAAACATTCATCTTAGTTGCTAGCTTGTGCTTTTGGTATAAGTCTGCTATGAAGGTAGCTTTCTCTTGACATCTCGACTCGGCCACTCACAATCAATACCTCTCAACTCACTCGTAGTGAAGCACTATGTATTACAAGTGACACCTATCAGTCTATCAGCACGACAAAATTCATACAATTCACTAAAACGACGCTCTAGATGAATAGTTAGTTACGTCTCCTGGCGCTTAGTAGATTATTAACTTGCGAAATTCCAGGTCTTGAGAGCTGAAAATAGACTATTGGATACCTCGAAATTTATCTGGCTTTCATATAATCACCACCACATTTTGTGTCACTTAGATTGGTATATAAGCTCCCTCCTCCCTCCCCCAAAGTCTTGATTCAGCCTCCAACTTTTTCTCTACAAGATCCTTTGGATCGAATCCGCTTTTCTAACAAAACAACAAAGCCCAACTTTCATCCTCTCAAAGCCAAAATGCCCGAAACCTGGTACTCAAGGGCTTCGCCCAGGAGAGGCTCGTACGCCGGGCAACCATCACGCCTTTATGGCGATGGCCGCAGCAGATACCCTCATGATGATGAGGATTTCATCCAAGATTACTCGTACGCAAGGCAACCAGCACGCTCTTATGGCGATAGCCGCAGTAGATACCCGCATGATGAGAGCTTCATCAAAGATTACTCTTGTGTAATCTCCTGCGCTCGTTGTGGTCAATATCTCATATACACTGAAGAGGATCCGAATGATAGGTATCCAACCAGACCGCCTTATCGTGTGTTGGATCTTGATCAAGATTATGGATCTCGCTACAGCCGAAATCATCGGTATTCTTTCGAGGACGAAGATGGACGATATAATAGTGACCAACCCTCTCTACGGATTCCATGCCAACATGAAGACGGGGAATACAGAAATGGGCAATTTCAACCTTTTTTCAGCGCCGGTCGAGATTTACAATATCGCCATCTCCAAGGCCGGCATCGGGACTCTCCTTTATATGGCGTTGATTATGAGTATCATGAGGGGTTGGATCGACCATCTGTATCCTATACGAGTGAGCCTCGTTACCATTATCGTCGACGTCGACATCGGAGTCATCATCGTAGCGATCGTCGACATCATCAATGGTTTCGCCGGCCGAGTATGGAAATTTCCTCCGAGACTGTTAGGGAATGGAGTGATTAGGCAGGATGGAAGTGTGGGGGTTCTTACTATGGTGGGGACACGTTTATGATAGATTGTTGGTCGGGAACCATCACTTTTTCTCAAATTACCAATGTATTTCAAAGATCTTATGCAAAAATGAAGACTGGTTTCTTTTTTTAAACTATCATCTAGGTCAGAACTGGGACAAAAGCCCCCTATTATTTTCGTCACCACCCTGTACCGAGTCCCCTTATGCTCAACCAGAATTCCTCGCCCAGTTGTTGACTCGGCTCAGCCCATATTATCCCTAACGCTCCTAAACGTAATTTCGTAACAAAAGCCCATATAAGCAACCCATAAAACATCATGGAACCGAAGAGGAGAGCGCCCCACGCCCACAATAATATACTAAACAATCTATATATGCAGCCATGTGTAATACATACAATGCCAATATCAAAAGACCAAGATACCATAACTCAATCACAACCTTTGTCACCGTTGACCTGATAGCTCGTACCTGCTTTCTGCGGTCGTATTTGGGGGGAGCTCATGTGCCCGCTGATATGGCATTACTGGCTGTGAAACCGAATCATACTTCGACTCATAGTAGATCTGGGGAGCCACGGTCGAAGTAATATCCGCTTTATCCGCTCGTCCTTTCCGGCCAAAGAACAGCCACCCTACAGTCACGCCTAGGACAACCGCCGCAGAGACTCCTATACCAACACCGATTTTTCCTATACCGCTTAGACCACCCTCAGTGGCAGTTATTGGGGTATTAGTGCTTGTCGGAGAGGCTGTAGATAGAGGAGCCAGTACGGGGGTAGTCGTGGCCATGGGAGCAGATGAGGGAGTCGATGTTGCATCAACTGTGACGAGTGAGCTTGTCGGGCTTTCTCTAATACTGCTTGACTGAGGTTGGACTCCTCCAGGCAAGGAGATGTTGAAGGCGTGACTGTTTGCTCTGCCCGAGGTTTCGCCCTGAACGAAAAGATTCATGTAAAATATAGGTGATTCCTCCAGACTTTTTCTTGTTTGGACGGTCCAAGTGAAGGAAGTTGTATTAGGCGCGAGACTGGCTTTTCCAGGTGTCAGTTAAGATGGTCGAGAAGTATGGGGTCAACTCACTGGCAATATATTCCAGTCCTAGAAGGAACTGCCGAGGGTCTGTCTTATTGAGTTGAAAGAGAGTGACAGCTAGGATTGCATCTACGGCTGTCCATTGTATGTTGATAGTTGCTCCTTTGGCATAGACGGCGTTGACAGAGGAGTCTCTCCTGTCGTCCTCGGCTGGAGGATTTATAAACTCAGTAGCGAGACATGCACTTATGCAGGAGACCAGCCTCAGAGAAATGTGGTAAAAACGTCGCATTTTCTACGTCTGTAAAATCAAAAGAATGTCGTAAGTGAGGAAATGTAACGTTTGTAGAAAGAAATATTTCAAAATTAAGCCAAAACACAAGGTAGAGAGGACTATCGATTCCCCAAGACATGAGTAGCAATCACAAAGAACTATATCAAGTTCTCAAGTTGGCATGTTGGTTGGTATTAAGCACCAATTATCGAACCATGTAAATGATATAGTAATGTTGGTGTCTCATCTTCTACGAGGCAGGAGGCGATGTATTCGCCCACCCTCCTGGGCCAAAGCTGACCGGCTGACAGTTCGGTTGACCATGTTGATGTTGAATTAAAGACCTATCAGGAGAGCTTGGTAAGCGCGATTGGTACCAGTACATTGTGAAGAGCCTCCAAGCCTCCGCCATGCCGTTTGCCACCGTACGAGGTACAGCGGCTCCGAGCGGTTAAGTATGGTCCACCCCTAAACCCCTGTCAATAACTTCAAGGGCTTGCAACACAGCAATAACACAATAAAACTGGCTCAAAAAAAAGAAGATAATAAAGCAGTATTTAAGAACACTATTAGTCTTTGAACGAAGAATTTTAATTGTGGTTTGCCCAAGTATACTAAGTTGAAATTTGTAGGCAGAGGGTAGCAGGGGCAGGGGGGACGATACTGTAAATAGTCAGTGCGTCTTTCCCCTGCGCTATCGCTTGACGCACTGACTATGAACTGCTGTAGAAATCCTTCGAGATGGCCTATGGGGGACCGAGCACATGGTCCATTGGCGTAACCCTGGCGTCAAATTTACCTAGCACGCCACGGGCTGAGACAGCGCGGCCTGGCTCGCCTAGCGAAGCTAAGCTGCATGCGGACTTCCCGTTATATTTTTTGCCATTCAGAAGCTGGAGTTTTATGGGGAACCAACATTAGAAGCACCAATACATTCTTCGGATGGCAAACTTGGCTTTCTCCATAGAGAACGAAGGTTCAGGCCGCTGGTTCTTAATAACCTGCCAGCCCTTTGTCCCCAGCAATGCATCCAATTTGTTATTCTGTTTCTCTTCCCCCCCCCCTTTTTTTCTGTATGATACTCCCATTCTAAATTCTCTATTCAATACATTGTCAGTCTTGTTTGTTATGTTGCTTCGAATAGCACGCGTTCGTTCTTCCTTCCTTAAATCTTCAATATCTCCGGTGTTCCTGGTACTGTGCGCCGTTATATTTCTCTATGTGAACTACACAACCTGGTCTTTACCGAACTCAATACACCACAATACCCCTCCTCCACTTATACCCACAACGACCCCAGCAACCACTACTGGAATCCCGCGAATTTTGTGGTATAAACATGGCCCTCAAGGTCTGAGCGATCAAGCGAAAGAGTATCTCGCTTTCTGTCTCAAAAACAACCCAGGCTACGAATCAAAATTACTCACCGACGAGTCGGGCGATGCCTATGTTCAAGAAAACTTTGCTGCCCATCGCCCAGATATTGTGGAATTGTACCTCTCCCTAAAAATCCCTATCCTGAAAGCGGATTTGCTGCGACATCTGCTCCTTTTGCGTGAAGGTGGTATCTGGAATGATTTGGACGTCTCATGTGGAGAAACACCAATCGACGACTGGATCCCCGAGCGATACAAAAAAGAGACCGACCTCGTCGTGGGGTGGGAGTTTGATGTAGGATGGGGCGACAATTTCGTGCGAGAATTCGAGACCTGGACCATAATGGCTAAACAGAATTCGCCTCATTTGTCCATGGTAATCAACGACACTGTGCAAGGCCTTCACGATCTAAGCGTGGAGAAGAATGTGACGATTTCAGAATTGACAATTGAACTTCTCGGGGATGGAGGCGTGGTGGATATGACAGGACCCAGGAGAATGACTTGGAGTATCATGAAAAGCTTGAAGTCGACACTGCAGAACGGGTTTGAGGAATCTGATACATATAATCTTACTGAACCGATGTTGGTGAATGACGTCCTGATCATGCCTGGGTTCTCTTTCGCGGCCTCATCGAACCATTACGCAGAGGATGATCCAGTAGGTCCAGCGTTGGTAACGCACCACTATGCTGGCAGCTGGAAGAACGAACATGGCGGGGAAACAAAACAATGAATTGGGCATACTGTACATTAATTACAGAGGAAGAATTTATTTGTAGATGGGTTTGGAGATTAGGTACGACCTCTGCGAAGAGCTGTGCCCAATCAATAGATATCTTTTGTATACAAAGTCATCATATACAGAGGCTGGCGTTTGGGGGCGTTTAGGATAGTGTTACAAACTGCAATACTTACGGGATAATAACAGAATGATTAGTCATAATAATATGGGTCGATATGGCACGTTGACTACACAACTACAGTCCCGAGGTCGGTTATGGGGGGGTATATCACGTGCTCGAAGGACCGTCACCCATTCCATTTTCCAGCTATATACCAGAGTTTTCTCGTCTAATTCCAGGCTCCATACCTCTTCAAAAGCCCTTGAAGTTCCTTATTGCGCAGAGTAACAGCCCATTGCATACAGCTCTCCCCCAAACTATTGCGTATATTCGGATCCGCTTTCGTTTCCAGCAGAAGCTTAACAACTTCAGGGTGTTTCCGATATACCGCGACTTGGAGAGCAGTGGAGTCAAATCGTCCTCCTGTTGAATTGATATCAAGATCGGGGTCTGTGATAATGAAATGTCGAACCAAAGACTTGATACCAAATGATGCAGCGTAGTATATTGGGTGTGTGCGTTTCGCGAGTTCCGTGCTGATTCCTGGAGTAAGGTAAATTATCCAGCCCAAATAATGCCCTCCGTTTGATGTGTTACGGGTGCTTAGGAACTGGTTGAGGAGTTTCCAGGTCGAGTGTTCGAGGTCTTCGTGAGCTGATTCTTTGACGTGGAAAGGCCAGAAATTCGCGGCGTAGTTATATAGAGGCCACTTATTCAAACGGTGCCTGAGATCTACCTTGTCGCGGTGGTTTGGTTCTAATGAAGGTTGTAGGAGATAGAAAAGGCACGACCTCGCTATGGTTGTGTTTGCGAGCTGGGTATCTAGAGCAAAGAATGACAATCTAGAGCTCTTTATCCGGTCCGATATCAAATAATCCTTCACTGAGAGATGAGCTAGTCTAATTAATTGCGTATCTACGTGATTGGAATAGTAACCACCTTCGTATGCCCGTATACCCGAATTACCACGGATGGTGGCTTTTGTGAGCAGCGTTGAGCATAGGAACATGATGTCTTGGGGATCAATTGGCTTCAGATCAGGGTCGTAGCAAAGCTGTTCATCTGCATTTATGGCGAGGACCTCGGTAGCTTCTTTTAGTGTTATAGGACGAGATGCAAAGCATACCCACCGCAGGAGCTTCAAGGCAGCTTCTCGGTCCCTTTCGTCTATGCGAAGCAGTATCCGCTCGTATGTCTCTTCAAGTGTTTTGGGTAGGGCATCTAAGTCTTTCTTAAGATCCTTGATGGTGTGGCAATTTCTCAAACTATCCAGTTGGCATTCAATCCATCGAAACCTTTTCATTTTCGTTAATACCAGCTTCCCCCATTTAGAAATCGTACTCACATCCCGTGTGCTTTATCCATGAGCGTTTTCCGTATCATGTCACGGATTTCAGGTGGCCACCTAACGAGTCTGGAGTCGACTTCTAACCTTTCAGCGATGTATATCGAGATATCCTGGCCAATATTCGAAGTCTCGACACAGAGAGTGTCGGTGACGACCTGAGATAACGAATTTCTGATGTCTACCAGATCTCGACTTGTTACAATTGTATGCAGACGATTCTCTTTCCAGCCTTGTACCACGCGAAGGATATCCAGAATCTCGTCCAACTCTTCACACTCGTCTAACGCGTCGATGATAATATAAACTTTCGGAAAGCAGGTGATGATTTGGGAGAGAACCTGAACGAGACTGGCCAAGGGCGGTTGGAATGAAGTGTTCTGAAATTCATTGAACAGTTTTTCCAGCCCGGCAGGAGTATGTGACGCCTGGCCATAAAGTTGGGCGACCAATGAACGAATCAAGGAATCAGCTTTGCCTTTCTGGCTTTCGTTGAAGTCAAAGTAGAAGTACGCAAGTGCAGCTTCTTCAGGTGTTAGGTACCTCTCCCGAAGAGCATCGATGATGGTTGAGCTTGAAATGAATTGTTAAATCAAGCTATGCGGGCAAATGTTTTGAACTCACGCAAGAATTGTCTTGCCACATCCCGCTTGGAAATAAGTTAGTTACTGGAGTCATCTTTATTGAGGAGCGAGGTCAACTCACGAATACCGTAAATCCACAAGAATGACATCGGAGAGCTAGACCAGCGACTGAATAGCTCACCCTCAATCAACCATAATCCAGTCATATCTTGACATCTTCTACGAGCTACGCTATGCGCAGAAGCGGAATTTGTAGCCGAGAGCCATTGTATAATCTTCTCACGCCGAGCATCTAACTTTGATAGTTAATAGAAGACCAGCCATTCTTCTGTCGGCTACCTACTTGAAACACTGGCTTGAAACTGTTCTGTCAAAGACTCGACACCTCTCTGTATATTTAGAGCTGTCTTCCTATATGATTCATGAACATTGAACTCTGTCCCTTTATCAAGCTGAGCAACGTACCTCTGATCCGCCACCAAAGCAAGCTGCAAGCTGGACTTTGTTCTGTCAATATTGTGTAACGCTTTCACCGTATCAGATTCTGTCAGTGGCCAGAGTATAGCAGCCCTCACAGCCCTCCATCCTTCTCTAGGCTCCAATTTCTTCCCTAAAGCCTCGAGGTCGGCCCTACATGTCTCTAGAACACCGTCAACTTTTGCGAGGTTCTGCAAATTCGATTGCTCTGAAGGTTTGTTCTCCGGCTCGTCTTCGAGAAGAACGAACAGGGACTCGATGACACTGCGGAGAGCATTAAGTTCATTAATGATACGACTTGCATCTTTGGCTGAATCCTTGACACGACTGCGATAGTCGTAACAGGTGGTGATGATAACGCCGCTGATCTGTAGAATTGCAATAGCACTTGCGGTGACGCTCAGAGGGTCCATCGTTACCTCGAGACATTGATATGTAGTATCTTGTTAAGAATGGGGTGTGGCACGTTCGCTTGCTGTACGGAATAACTCAGGCGGCTGGGGCGGCTACATTCTGTATTACCGCTGAGATTAAAAAGAAGAAGGAAAAAAGAGTCGAATCATGTTTCGAGTGTTTGCAATCTGCTAGAAATCTGATTTGAATGAATACCTTGAAGACCACAGATAGACTTCTGGTAAACAAGAAAAGTAGGAGATAATTCTTTCCTCTTGGCGTAACTTGGTTAAAACTATTTTGTTATTCTAGGAATTGGACTAATCAAAATAACGAGCCAACGATAAACAAGGTAATGGTTCTAACAACTTGAACCATTTTATTACTTGGAACTAACTTGTGCTGTTGGAAAAAACCAATCCGAAAAATAAGAAAAGTTCTAACTTGCTGGAATTTTGCCTCGGAATAACCTCGTTCCGTGATCTCTTGTACTACGTCAACGCCCCCGCCCCCTGCAGCTCTAGGAGCAACGCTCAAACGCCAACAGTGTCCGAGAGCTTTAATCCAACCACCATTTTCCAGTTCAGACTCGATCATTTTCTCATTTTTGTATCCCTCTGTGGACACTACTATGGACATAGGTGAGTGATGCCAAAAAGAGAAGAAGTTGGATCGATTCTAACTTCGATGTGGCCGATTTTCAGGTACAGTACCTGCATCAAAGCCCGTCACGTTTTTTATTCAGAGGTGATCGGCAAGGAGCTTGCTAAATCCGCCTATCACTTTTGATATCCTCCTGTTGCGAGCTTTTCCTCTCAATTTCATGGACAGCCGCCATCATGAACGCCACTTCAGCCCAGACGAGCCCTGCTAGCTCCCTTCTTGGATCGATTCCAATCTTCTGGACTCTTCTAATTGCATTTCCGACTTTTGCATTATGGTGGTGGACTGATATCAGATGGAGAGTTGCAAAAGGTGAACCGCCTTTAGTAGTACACAGCATTCCTTGGCTGGGCCATGGTTTGAGCTTCATGAATGATATCAATGGATTCACAGAATGGGTCAAGTAAGTTCACATCTTTCTGTGATGAAGTATCAAAATCTGATAAACCCAGATCAATTCATCCATCATCTTCGGCGGCAACCGTCCACATCGCCGGACAACGTCTTTATTTGATCTTTGATACCAAACTTGCTTCTCAAGTATACCGACGGTCTCAAACATTCATATTCGACCCTTTTTTCCTTCAAGCATCAGGGATCCTTGGAGCCAACAAGAAAGATATGAAAATCCTCTCAAACGGTGCCCAGACCCTCACACCAACCCCCAAAGATCAAGACAGCGGGCAAAGAGTGATCCATGATTTACACAACATGACACCTCAACATCTCACTGGAGTATCCCTTGACAAATTGACGAACATGTTCATAGACGTCATCTGTAAGGATATCGATGAACAGTTCCCAGAAGACAAAAAGGAGAGCTACGAATGGGAGACTTTGGACTTATGTGAATTCGTGAAGAAGACATGGTGCCATGCTTCCATCACTGCCTTGTTTGGAACTCATATTTATGAGATTTGGCCGGGAATCGACGCATGGCTTTGGAAATTCGATAAACACTTTCAGAGTCTGTTCACAGAAATGCCGAGAATTGTCATCCCGACAGCCTTTGCACTTCTGGACGAAGGACAGGAGATGTGTGAGAAATGGGAGTCTGATGCTATAAAGGCTGGTGAGGAGGGTAAGATGGAGTCGGACCCTGATTGGGATGAGTATTGGGGATTGAGATTTGTGAGGTTGAGGAATGAGTTCTTGAGAAAGGAGGGCTTGAGTGCGAAATTCCGGGCCGGAAATCAATGCGCGTTTCTCTGGGGGGTGAGTTATACCATTCTGTTCCTCGAAGCTTATGGACATGGTACTAATGGTTCTCAGCTAAACGCGAACGCAATTCCAATTGCTATGCAAACCATAGTCCGCATGGTCCTCTCACCACCTTTACTAGCATCTCTCGTCACCGAAGTCTCGGCCTCTAGAACAGAAGGGAATTCCTTCGACCTTAAGACAGTCACAACTGCTCCCCTCTTCAAATCTGTCTACCTCGAGTCTCTCCGATGGGCAACTGCATCACCCTCACCTCGGGTAGTCCGTCAAGACTGTGAAGTTGGACCATACCTCCTCAGAAAAGGCAACATGGCAATCGTGCACTCCCGAACCCTTCAAATGGACGAAGAAACCTGGTATATCCCCAGCAAACCCGAATCGCACCCGTCCAACTTCTGGGCCGAACGATTCGTCGATGGCGACGCGCAATCGGAAGAACTGCGAGTCGAGGAGAACAACGAAGCAGAAACGAACTGGTCAGAAGACATCAACAGCAAACACCCAGCTCCTAAACCATTATCAAGGAAGATGGCGGAACCACTTGGTGGACCGAAGAGTAAAGCTATTCAGCAACGGATGTTAGCTCTGAGACCTTTTGGTGGAGGAACTACACTTTGTCCTGGAAGACATTTTGCTACGAATGAGATTATGGGTGGATTGGCGGCTTTGATGCTGAGATTGGAGATTGAAGTTGATCAGGAAGCTTTGGAGAGGAATGGTACTCCGGTGCCAGATCTGAGTAAACAGGGTGGGTTGTTTCCGGATAGGGGCTTGATTTGTAGAGTTCGTAGACGGAAACGTGTATGATGCACCGGAGTTCTTGGGGGGTACTATTGCTTCATAGACAGCACGCGGGTACGATAGACAATGCATTGGTCGTAATGATGAGAATGAATTTCACGAGCCCGTTGCCCAATACAGCTCACTAAACAGTTAGGTCACATTGACCTGGCATTTACCCCGCCATACTCGAGTGAGCCACTTCAACCCCGCGCCGACAATTCGCGCTTTTACAGTCAACATTTCACGACAAACAAATTGACAAGTTGACAATCGGCAATTGAGTCAAAATCTCAGATCTTCGTCACTGCCCTCTATAACAGATCCAATCTATCTTGCCCTACCATCCACCCAGAACTCCATCCACTACAGGGTCGCAAACCACTCCAAAGATGTCCCTCCCTGAAGGAACAATAATCCGACAAGCACATGTCGAAGGTACTTACAACTCCCCACTCACACCAACCCTCACACCAACCCTCCACTCCCATATCCAATTCCACCCTCCACTTCCTCGCCCCCATCCAGACCCAAAAACGCACCCACTAACNCTCCCCCATCCAGACCCAAAAACGCACCCACTAACACCCCCAGACATCCCCACAATCCTCCACCTAATCCACGCTCTCGCAACCTACGAAAAAGAGCCCCCCACAAGCATCGAAGCAACCCCCGAAAAACTCCTAAAAACCATCGCCTTCAGTCCCTCACCTTCTTCCCCCTCCCCCTCCCCTTCCACCCCAAACATCTCCGGAATCACACCCAACCGACCAGCACGCTGTCTCCTCCTCTTTCCCGCCGGCGAAAAAGAAGCGGTAGCTTTCGCAGTATACTATTACACGTACTCGACCTGGCGAGCACTCCCGGGGATCCATCTCGAGGACTTGTTTGTGGTGCCTGAGTGGAGGGGAATGGGGTTTGGGAGGGCGTTGTTGGGGGAGCTTGCTAGGGAGGTGGGGGGGATGGGGGGTGGACGGTGTGAGTTTTATTTTCTTTTCTTTCATTATTTTGTTTGGTTGTCTTTCTATTTTACTTTTATGTTTTGGAAGTTCTTGAATTGGGTCCTTGAATTTGAGTCGAGCCCAGGGAGTTGTGAGATTTGGCTGTTGATGGTGGGAGGAGAGATTGAGGGGACTTGACTGACATGGAATAGTGGAATGGAATGTTTTGAAATGGAATGAGCCGAGTATCAAGTTCTACAAAGGGGAGAGTGTTGGTGCGGAGATGCTGGAGGAGTGGGTTGGGATGAGGGTTGATGGGGAGAAATTGGAGAAATTGGCTGGGAAGGGGATTGATAGCAGATAGGAAGAGAAAGTAAAGCTTCATTCGACTTCTTTTGGGAATTCTGTATTTACAGTATTAGAACTACAGGAGTTTACATGGACGGGGTATATCATCTGCCTTCTTCCTCTCTTTTCTTACAGAAGCCCTATGGCTTTTTTCCTGCCAATTCTTTTCTGGTTGGCAAGGTTCTCATAATGCCCCTTCCCTCTTTTTTATTTTTGATGAGTTCTCTTTGCCTGAGCGCAAGTCGCATAATGTACTCCTCTGATACACCCTTCTTCTCTTCTGCTGATTTGTCGTCCCGTTCTTTCAAATTGACAGGTGGATCCGGCTTTGGTGGTGGGGGACTCCAGAACGGGGTGCGGGGATTCCAAATTGTGAGTCGTCTCTCCGGTTTTGTTTTCTCGTCTGCCTCTGGCTGAGTGGTCGATGCTATCTCGCTATCTGTGCCCTCAAAAAGCTCGAGTTGAGATTCAGACAGGCTTGCAACAGGGTCCTGAAATAATTGCGATTTACCATAACCCCATTCGATCACCCATTCTTTTGTATCTAGATCCTTATACATCTTCGCTGTTCTGGCCCATATGTCCGCATATATTCTTCGCATTGTCCGCGGACTATTGTATGCCGTTTCTGCAGTCTTCTCGTCACTCTCCTTGATAGGAGGGGCAACATATATCTTCCTCTGATCCGCTCTCCACTCCAATTCTCCTTTCTCCCTCGCTGGGTTACGCAAATTATTGACCACCAATTGGTCATTAATTACAAGCAGTTTTTCAGGCTGTTCTGGCGATGAACGACGGGGAATGAACTCGGGAGTAGGAATTGCACCCGTAGACAAATCTCGTAATCGATCCCATATTTGGTGGGGTACTGGCGGATGTATCTTTTCCAAAGCATCGGCCCACCATCTTTTGACCATTTTGATCGCCCTCTTGTTTGGCATTGGGCGGCCCCATGTATTCTTTTTGGGTAACTTTGGCTTTGCATCTTTGAATGAAGCCTTACCCCTTTGCTCGGTGGAAGGTCGCACTAGCTGACTCTCAAGCAAAGCCTCGAATTTCTTCGTCGTGTTAAGATGATGGTCGAAGGTTGGGACCGACGCAGCCGAAGGCCCAAGAATCAATGAGCTCAAGGCGGCGTTATCTTGTGGCAGATCCTCCTCGTCCGGTTGCAAGAGGTCCCTGATCAATAATCGACGTTGAGGGCCTGCCTTTCCGTATGCCCGATCCAGAACATTGATCAAATCCTCCACCACTCCACGGTTCGCCCGATTGAGACGTCGGACGCTGCTGTGGGCTTTCTTTAGCCGTTCAGCGAATCTTTTGTTGTTATCCGCTGTCTTAGATAGACCGGCCTTGTTGCGAAATCGAGCCCTAGCTGTTTCGTAGCAGTATTCTCGCGCGACGGGGTCGGGTGTGTAGGTAATGGCTCGGAGGAGGCTTCGATATGCTGTCAACGTCTGCCATCGTCTGTCGGAGGATTGAATTATTTCCGTAGGCGCCAATGAAATTGTGACATTTTCGAGCGCTCGTCGCACTGTTGCCATTCTAGACGCTTAAGCTGCTGGTGGTGGTGGTTGTCGTCGTCGTGCTGCCGTCTTCGAGGTAGAGTACTAAAGCGCGGCGCTGAGCATTGGAAAGCTTGCATGAGTTTTTCGAAAGGCGCCCACAACCACAACCACAACCCCACCTCCCAATAGGCAGAGAGCTTAGTTTGCACCAGTATGAGTACCTCTAGCAGGTACTCCGTACATGTACCAGTATCCAGTCTTTGAAACTTCACTTTTGCATGCATTGAATAAGAATATGAATCGAACGCGCATCATCTCGTTACATTGCTCTATGGAAATATACTTTCTAATCCCTTTCAGCACTTGATTGGGACGAGTTTTCTTGGGCACAACACAGCCAACAACCACAACCATCATCACTTCAAAACAATGGCGAAATTGTTCCGGTCTTTTCCCGATCTAAGCTCTTCCTTCTTGAAACCAAACATTTTCTTCTCCATATTGACACCAACCGATGGTTCCAATCTCCAGAGATAGTAAATCAGCTTATTCGAAAGCTTCTTCTTGACCTGCACAAATCCCAAAGCCTTCATGATAGCTTCCAGCTTCCTTTCGTCCATGTATCGTGAATTCATTACACATGGTGCTGGAAGGACCAAGAACAGACTCGGAAGGAATTCCTGGACAGGGTCATTTTCCGAGTCTGGTTTTGTTTTAAGAAACTGAAGAACCCGAAGCAGCATTGCTCCTTTACTAGCAGGATCCGGGACATAGTTGAGAACGAGTGAGAGACTGATAATATCGAAACATTCCTCTGGGCCAGATGGGAGGGGTCGTTCCATGAAATCTTGCTGCCTGATGCCTTCTGACTGGCTGTTCAAGTCAATCCTCTCAATATCAAAAAGATGGCTTTTCGAGCAGGCGTTCGTAGTGCTCAACGCTCCAACCTCTAGCATTCGAGCTGGAATACCACTTTGAAGTTTCTCTTTTAATGGAGGCACAATGGGTGCCAGCCAATCCATGAGAATTCTTGAACTGTCTCCCCCTCTTTCATTGCTCTGGCCTTGAAGGCTGGCTTTTTGATACGTCTTCAAGCCTCCCTTGGATTCAATCTGCTTTGCAATTAAAGCAGCTTCTGCTTCATCTCCATCAGCTATCGCTTTTGCCTTTTGCTTTTCTAGCGTATGGTGAGCTCTGATCAGTGTTCTAGTCGCTTTGCTGGAAATTGATCGTGTAGGTTTTGCTGTTGGAGGGCGTCCTGATGACAGCGACTTGAGCTTGCTAGGCTTCTTTTTCTTGGATGCCATTTTCTGAGCCAACGCATAGTGGTTGTGGTTGGTCTTGTTGGAAGGAAAATGAAAGTCTCCAGTCTCGAGTAGACTCAAAAATTCGAAGCTTCTCGCTGGCCTGGGCCCTGGGCTCGCGGCAGGTGGGCACGTGGTGGGGTACCAAGTGAGCACACGTGATTCTCCACAGCAGCTTGCCCAGGCGCCAAGCAACAAGGATATATCCACCAATCAGCCGAGGAAAGCCCTCCGCACAAATCTAATTCAAAATCCATCGCGCGAAACTCCTTCTTCGACCATCGACAACCACGCCAAACGACGACGACATCAAAATGCCAGTATCAAAGGACCAAAAGAAAGGTACAATCTCCTTTCTAACATATCTCTACATCTACATCTACTCTCCTCATTGAGTCCGCCATGTGTGTGTGGAAGCCATCTCGAACTTTTCTCCAATTGCGAAATTTGCGAAATCTTTCGGGAAATCTTACTACCACCATGCGCCAACGATGAAATGAGGGGATAGAATGCGATACGATGCGCACCAGCAGCAGCAGATATTGCGAGTTCGTCAAGAGCGATTGCTGATGCGTAAGTCATTATAGGTGCTGCCGCCAAGGGCAAGGCTGGTAAACAAGCCAACTCGGCTGCTAAGTCTGCGTTGAAGGGTGTAAGTTTTGGATAACTGATCAGCTTTGAATAAGTCTATGCTAACCATATCCCAAGGCATACGCAAACAAGGTCCGAAAGGTCCGCAAGTCCACCACCTTCCACCGACCAAAGACCCTGCAAGTCTCCCGAAACCCAAAATACCCACGTAAATCCATTCCTCATCAACCCCGCCTCGATGAGCACAAGGTTATCGTCCACCCTCTCAACACTGAGAGCGCCATGAAGAAAATCGAGGAGAACAACACCCTTGTCTTCATTGTCGACATCAAGGCCAACAAGAGACAAATCAAGGAGGCTTTGAAGAAGCTTTACGATATTGACACAGTCAAGATCAACACTCTTATCCGGTATGTCGAGTCAATCCACCGGACAATGATTGCAAACACTAACATTCTTTAGACCTGATGGATCAAAGAAGGCCTTTGCCCGTCTTACTGCTGATGTTGATGCCCTTGACATTGCAGCCACCAAGCTCGCAATCGTCTAAATGTGTGTTTTGATGAATGGGTTGGCGCTTGTCTTGATGAGCGAGGGTTTATGATATGGTTATGAAGAATCTTCACGACAATCTTTCGTGGCTACGAATGGGCGATTGTCTTCTGCATTAAAACGGCGTACATGAGATACATACCAAATCAAAATTGCACGAAAAAGTGCTTCCTTTTCCAACCCTAACATCTTGGTTATGCTTCTGAAAAGGATCATTTCGTGATGTTTACGCGTATTCCTTCTCTGTAATAAGAGCTGGTTATTTGTAGAAGAGTGAAATGTCTTTCTGTGCCTTTTTGATGGCATGTTCGTACACACATAAAGTTATCGTCAATCCTATTCATACACCACCAGAATTACCATCTTGCTATCCCCCAGAAGCTCCATGCCTTATATTTCTGGAGATTTTGACCGTCCAGGATAACTCCTCTTTCCACAATGGAACCAGCGTATGCCCCCAGGAATCATTGCACCATTTTCCATACCCACCATCCATCATCCAACAATCGTAAGTCCCTTATGGTGACACTCTCATCCTCTCCAAATGCTTGATGACGGTGAAATTCGCATCCATAAATCGATCGACGCAATTCGCTGCGCAACTGGCCTCGGAGCTGTCCAACTTGTTGCTTCGAATGGTGCCAGTAACACATTTCTTCCAGCAAACGTCAGTTAGGCTGTGGACGGCTAGGATTAGGTTAGTCTCAACTGCTAGCATTACCAATAGAATAGGCGTCTTGAAGCAAATGCCAAAGATATGCGATTGTAGAATTTATGGAGGTAGAACTGACTCTGCTGTATTCTCGCCTTCTGGCCCTCATTGGCGAGGAATTGTTGGAGCTCTTGCTTGTCTCTGTCTGTGAGCTTGGACAAGTCGAGGTTGGAGTCGAGTTGGGCGGTGGGTTGATCCATTTTGTTTGCTGGTACTTGGTCTCTCGTGGGTGTGGATGCAGGTACGTGGTATGGATAGATGCGCCTTGTGAAGCTGGCTCGCTGGGACTCGTATCGAGGTATCCTCTGTGTATATTTTTGAGAAAATGGAGCTAACTTGTTCAAGGAGTGGCTGGTGTGAACGTGCAGTGGGTAGGTATGNGAAGCTGGCTCGCTGGGACTCGTATCGAGGTATCCTCTGTGTATATTTTTGAGAAAATGGAGCTAACTTGTTCAAGGAGTGGCTGGTGTGAACGTGCAGTGGGTAGGTATGGCTGTGCGAGCTGTGGCTGGAATTTATGGCTACGGCTCCCCCTTGGCGAAAAAGCAGCTGCAACCTTGAAAAGCTGCCTTCAGTACGGAGCCGGACCAATCAAGCGCGTTCCCCCACTGGATTCAACGCACTTCAACGCGACGCTTGGATTCAACGACACGTCTTCACGTCTTCCAACTCGCCCTCGCCCTCGCTCTCTCCCCAGCAGCGCGCTGCCTTGGTCGCATTGTTGCCCTTGAGAGCAGATCGGCTTTCCTCCCTTTTCCTCTCGCCTGCGACTGACTATCTTGACGGCCTCTCGCAAATACCTCGTGGAATTCATTTAGCGCGCAGCCTCTTCTTCGCCTCGGCCTCCGGTGACGCGATATCAAGACAATTCTCCCTCGCTTTGTGCGATTCATTTCCGACCTCGTCCCCATTCACGACCCTTGATGGCATCGTCCACAATCACTTCTAATCCGCGACCACTCTCCAATACATCCTCGTCGCGACAGAACCATCTCAATCGTGCGCCATCTTTTGCGGCTGGTGCGCAAGGAGAGCAGGAGGCGACTCGGTCGAATACACAAATGTCTTTCAACATGAGCCAGGGTTCACAGGGCGGAGGCATGATGATGCAGCAGGGTCAACCGTTCAGACAATACGATGGAAATCAACCCATGCGACCGAATCCCCCACCTCAGACTCAGATATACTCGGTAAGTGCATGTCAGCGTGGTGGCGCTCTATACAGAATGGCAATCGCTAACAGCAATCTGGCAGGCGGTGTATTCGGGAGTGGATGTCTATGAGATGGAGGTCAATAAGATTGCAGTAATGCGCCGTCGTAAAGACAGCTGGCTTAATGCGACCCAGATATTGAAGGTGGCCGGTATCGAGAAGGGTAAGCGTACAAAAGTGCTGGAGAAGGAGATTTTGATTGGAGAACATGAAAAGGTGCAGGGTGGTTATGGAAAATACCAGGGTACTTGGATCAAGTTTGAGAGAGGGTTGGAGTTTTGCAGACAGTATGGAGTCGAGGATCAATTACGGCCTTTGTTGACTTACGATATGGGACAAGATGGTGGAGTGGCTGGTCGAGGTGGGTATGACACTCCTACAAAAGAGCAAGCTATGGCGGCCCAACGAAAGCGAGCGTATAATTCGGGCGCCGAGAATCGTTCCTCAAACCAATCGGGAACTTTTTTCAAAAACATTTCGAGTACTGCTTCACATGCAGTTGCAGCGATCAGTAAGGCCCGTTTCGATTCACCAGTTCCCCGGAACAGAAATGGCGCCAACTCAAGTCACCCACCAAGCTTTAGTCGCCAGTCATCTCAACAAAACCTTGCATCACAGGAACCGACATACCCAGTCGCATCACAACAAAGCGTGCAAAGCTTTTTATCGAATGATGGTTACCTCCCCAACGGCCAGGATTCAGCTTATGCCACTCAGTATACACAACCAGGACAGGGCGACAATCGAAACGGCGATATGGAGGAACCCCCGCGAAAAAGGATACGAGCCACACCCGGTGAAGTTGACCAACAGATGGATAGCTACTATGATCTATCCATGCGAGAACCTACACCTACAGAGCCAAACGAGTCCTTTTTATACCACAACTCACATCTAATGCAAGGTGAGGAAAACTCGGTTCTTCCACCCTTACCGAGTAGCGCGATTCAAGGTGGAGAGCAGAAGAAGTCGCTCCTTCTATCTCTCTTTATGGACCCTGAGCGCAATGATTTCAGCAAGCATGAAGTTTTTCTCTCCATGTCCCCTCAGGATCTCGATACACCTATTGACACTTCTGCCAATACTGCTCTGGTCTGGGCTGCTACGCTCGCTCGCCTTCCACTTTTGAAAGCATTGATTGCCAGTGGTGCAAGTATATACCGGGTAAATCGTGCTGGAGAAACCGCATTGATGCGTGCTTGCGGAGTAACCAATAACCTTGACGTGGGCAGCTTCCCGGATCTCCTTGAATTACTAGGGCCCACTATTGAATTCACTGACCAGCGACATCGAACCGTACTCCACCACATTGCAGTCACTTCAGCAGTAAAAGGAAGAAGTTCCGCCACCAAATACTACCTCGAATCACTCCTCGAGTTTGTCGTCCGCGCGGGGACCGCTCCGAATAGTCAGCAATCAAACTCTTTCAGCAGCAATGCGCCAGCGATGCAAACAATGAATCTAGGCCGTTTTATGTCGGAAGTAGTAAATATTCAGGATAAATCGGGTGATACTGCCTTAAATAACGCAGCTCGCATTGGAAACAGAAGTATCATCAGTCAGCTATTGGAAGTTGGAGCGAATCCAGAAATCAAAAACCGCTCTGGTTTGTGCCCACATGATTTTGGTGTTGGAGAGAGTTTAGGAAACGCAGATGTAGGTTCTGGCCGTATCCCAGCGCCTGAGAAATTTACTTCAAGGACAAATCAAACCAGTAATGAGATTATCTCTTGTAAGTACATCAAATTTCATCTTCTACATGTGTCTAAATTCTATAGCAATATCTTCCCTGGTCACAGACGTCTCGCAGGAATTTTCAAACGAATTGGACAAGAGACAAGCCCGGATCGACGCCCTTCATGCGCAACTTCGAGAACAATCAGCGCTTCTTGGAGAACAACGTCGACGTAGAGCAATGATCGAAGCTCAAGCAAAGGAGCAGCAGGCCCAGAAGCACAAGTATGCAAACCTGGCCAGAGCTGTGCAAGCAGAGCGAGTTCGGCTTCGGCAGTTGCAACAAAATATGGGACAAAGCCAACAAAATGTCGATATGCGCCTAGGCGATGCCGACAAATCATTTTCTATCCCTAAACTTCCTTCCAACTTACTGGCTAATATCAGTGCCAATCCTCACCAATCTCTTGCTGCTCTCGACCAAACGCAGCGACAATTGGCAAATTCACTTCCGCCTGTTCATGTCTTACGAGCTCGTATCCGTGCATACCAACTCAACAACCAAATCTTGGAGCAAGATGTTCGTGGACTCCAAAGTAAGAGTACAGAACTTGCCAACAAGTATCGTAAGGTTGTTGGTCTTTGTACAGGTACGGCATTTGAAAAGGTGGATCAAGTTGCGCCCAAGCTTCTTCGAGCCATTGAGAGTGAACCAAATGTGGATCTACGACGTATTCGAGAATTCCTCACTCGAGTCGAGGTTCCTACTTAAAGATAAAAATACGCAAGCGAGTGCGCATACGGGAGATACCTTTTTGCATCCATCATTTGATGGCGGTGGCGTTTTTACTGCTGATATTTTGGGCGGTGGCATTTTCAAAAAGGGAATCATTTGCATCTGGGAGGTGTTTTTATGTTCCGATTCCCCTTTTCTTTACCTTTTTTCGCCTTTCTTTTTCTCCTTTTTCACTTTGGGTTTTTCGACTCTACATACCCTCTTTCTATGGGAATTGATGTGGAGTAAGTGGATGAAGGGATCTTGATGATTGCGAGTGTATAACAACATACATACTGTGAAATTTCTCTTTTCTTTTTATTTTACTTTCTGGCATGCGAAGGGGCGTGTTTGTGAATAGGATGAAGGAACGGTTGATATTGTTGGTGGATACAGTTCACTTTAGGAATGAATGAGAAGTACATGAATCATTTTGTTTGCAGTCTGTGATTTATTTTCTCCTGCTTCATGGTCGTATGCTGTTTGAATTACGAATTGCGTACGAGTAACTCACTTCCTTGGGGTTTGCGTCTAGCGTGGAAGTCGTTCCTGTTTAGTCGGTAAGCTACCCGTTCCTGTCACGTATTGGTATCTGTTAGTCTGCTACAAGTACTTGTGATATCAAAAGTGCCAGAATTCTTTGGTTGTCGTGCTAAAGTCGCTAAGAAACAGTGACTACCTGGGTTAGTGTGGGCTGGTGTATGGTCGACATTTTATGACGTTTGAATTCCAACTCGACTATTTTCTTCTCTGGGGTTTATTTAAGAGACTGTTTTCCCGCCTTCACCTTCTCATCCACCTTGCCCAAATCAATTATACAAAACTATTGTATTCAAAATACCAAAATCCCAAGAAGATAAACAATATGCGTCTCCACTTCCTCCCTCTCTTAAGCCTTTTGGCTCTCGCCTCCTCGTCCCCAGTTCCAGTTCCAAAGGTTCCCACGGGTATATACGACCACAACACTTATATCAACCTCACGGACCCCAAATACTTTCCATGGGCGAGAACCTTCCGGGACGCCAGAATGGGAATCCGAGTCCCCCTAAACGCTTTCGAAAATGTAAATACTCACTCAGCTAAACACAACACCCGCCAAAGTATCACCACCCGCTCCCACATCTTGGCCCACAGTCCCTCAGCCATATCATATCTCAATAACTTCCTCACTAACGCTACCCGACGTTTCTCCAGCGCCGTCACCTCCATCTCAAACGCTCTCATCTCTTTCCCACGCGAAATGGTCTCTACCCTCGCCACCTACCTCGTCACTCCCTCCCCTATTCCCACCCACTCAAACACCACCACCACTTCCACCAACACCACCCAACCCCTCGCACCCCGCATGGTCTTCGAAGACAACCCCATCTGCCAAGTCTTCTTCTGGGACGGCAAACAAGGCGGCTGCACGTTCCTGACGGGCAGTCGCAAAACGGGCATCTGCAGGATGAACATCATGCGGCTGGGGAATGGGGATGGTTGGCAGGCGGGCGATTGCTTCGAGGCGGTTGTGGGCTCTAGGGGGGATGATACGAGTGGGGTCTGGGAGGGGTGTGAGATTCGGAGGGGGTTTAGGACGACGTGTCCGGCTTGATTGGGCTTTTGGGAGGTTAAGTATTTTTGTGAGGGAAGTGAGGGGATGAGGGGATGGAGTTTATGGGGTGGGATGGGTTGGATGTTGGACTTGGGTTTTGTGTTGTGAATGTTTTGTGTATTAGAAGTTTCTTGATACCAAATCTTGCTAGTCAATGATAACTTGCTCTATGTCTTTGATAAGACCCTGATCTTGAATGTGTCGTATCCTTTCCTTTCACCCCACGGTTGTATCGTGCTTCGACCGAATGAAAGATATAGAATATAACATATACTCGCTTAACGCGCGTAACTTCAAGATTACTTCAACTCAAGATGGCGATTGTGTCGTCCAGATCTGGAGTTCAAATCGAATAATATTAGTTTCCCATTCCTCCCATAGCCGAATAGGTGGATAGAGATGACCTGAGTGATAATTATAAAGCGATCTGAATATAACCACTGATCGCAATTCATACAATAGCCCCGCGGACCTGAAAAACGTCTTTAGCGAGAAAAGAAAAAGACAAAAGCGGCTTCCTCCGGAAACCAAACTCTCTTCCCCAGTTTCCCTTATTCCACATACACACCGAAACCCCAAAGATGTCTCTATGACCCAAATAAAATCACCTTACCCCTCAAAAAAACCCATCAAAAAAACCCCCCAAAAAGTACCACAGAAAACAAGCAAAAAAGAGAACTAGCAATGCTCGGTTTCGATCCGAGGACCTCCGGGTTATGAGCCCGGCGCGCTTCCACTGCGCCACATTGCTTGTAGATATCCAATCGTTTTGATTGGATGAGAGCGGTCAATTTATTTGGGTTTCTGAAGAGAGTTGGATTTGCGTGAGTTTTGTGGGAGTTTGTGGGCCGATAATTGGCCGATGAGTCTCCTAGATAATGAAAGGTGATTGGTTGGAGGGCTAGATGGTGTGGATCCAGTTTTTGATGTGGGACTGAGGGTGTGGATTGGTGAGACTACGATAGGTAAGTGGAGAGTGTTACAAGTGTAAGAAGAGGAAGTTTGTTTGTTCCTTTTCCTATGGTGTGGTGAAACTTGATTTAGATGTGAAAAGGAGCAGCTAAGTACCCCCCTCATCGTCTCACGTCTTTGAAGTAACTAAAAAGAAGGTGCAAACCTGAAGTGTTTAGGTAAGTCACTGCCATTTCATCGTCCAACATGAGCAAGTACTGATACCTAGAACTAGTCAGCCAAACAGTTGAGCTACGATCTGTATACTTCAAAGGAACAGCTAAGCTTGACATTCGCGCATGCGGGCATACTGGTGTTCATTTATCTGCCAATCTGAAATGACATTCACATGAAGTGTTGAACACAGAAAAGGAACTACTCTTTGGTTTGTAAAATGAACATACAGGTAGGTCCTAAATGCCCCAAGATGAAGCAAGTGCCGCTACTACCCAATCGTATACCAAATAATCTCAATATGGAATTATTCTAGAAAAGAATTAAACATGATTGTCTCATCTTTTTTGGCGTACATACGCGCTCTGAGTTTGATCGTGGGTAGCCTCAGGAAGATACATTGAAGTCTTTCAGCCGTAGGTTTTGGATGATAGATAATAGCGCTCTCAAAGCCTCTTCTCAACTGGTTCGGTACTTGAAATTCTGGGGGAATGAAAGACTTGTTCGAGGCTTACTTTTAATGTGAGAAGTTTCTGTATTACTTGGGAGGCACCCATTTGAGGGCCTTTCATTGGTAAAAGAATTTGTTTTTCTATCACAGAAGCGAATTGGTCTATAAACATCCTAAACTTGAACTCATCCTTGAAGCTTTCAACGAAGTTTCCCTCTCCCCCTTCCTGCAATCTATTTACCTTGATTTGGATTCTCGGGGTTCTATATAAGTTATAACGAGTGTTGGGAAAGTGGAAAGTAAGTGAGCTAAATCAAATATTTTGACTAAGCCATGATTTTCCCGGGGAGCATAGAGGTATCTCAACTTGTTGTATTTGAATTTCATGTCGAGGTGTATATCTAGCAAGGAAATGAGTTTTTGAATTAACGGATCAAAACCCCATCGCAATCTACGATAATGATATGAACTCTTTTTTTGGATATCGTTTTCTTAAGCGAGGTTATGAAGTAGGGCTTATGATTCTTTGTCACGAACAATATCTTGTTTGGGTAAGAGAAATCATGGGTGTCTTCATCTTGGCTACTAGGCGAAGGTCCTTATCCGGATGAAGTTTCAATAAGTGTAAATCTTGAACTGATTTTGTCGCACGCCAACTCTCTCAGAATTTTGCTGTTGAGACAAAGACTTGTCACTTCTCATCCTCTTTCCCCACTCCATCAATTCTCTCTTCTTCAGCTCTCTCCATCCAAGGCGACATCTCCCCTCCAATCAACCTCTTCCGCCACTCCTCCTCAATCCTCTCAACTCTCTCCCACGCCTCACTTTTCCCATACCCCTCTCCCTCCTCGCCTCTCATCTTCCCAACACTCGCCGCCAACCCAGCAACACCCTTAAACCTACCTCTAACAAGCGCCTCCTCTTTCCCAACCAACACCCTCACTCTCAGCTCTTGGAGTTTCTTATACCCCTCTTTCTCTCTTCCTTGATTGTCAAAGACATCATAGGCTAACTGCTGCCAGATCCTAAGTTGGTATTCGAAGCCTTCGTTTGGATTTGCCTGCGGACGGGAGACTCGGAGGTGAGCTAGTGCTTGGTTGTATCCGATTTGGAGGGTGCGCATTACTGTAAGACGATAGTAAGTAAGTCATAAATCTAGAAAACAAGGGGTAGTCTTTTTCTTTTTGTTTAAATGGGAGAAAAGACAGAGCAACAAACAAAATCCAATAACAACCGCCGCACTCCTTGAGATCCCTTGTGTACAATGTACTAACACCCCACCACTTCCTTCCCTCCATTCCCATCTTCCACCCTTTGGAGCTTCTCCCCAATCCAATCACAACACCCCTTCAAACGCACAATCAAATCCTCCGTAACATCATCCTCAATCTCAACATGTTTCCCCACGAACCCCTCTGCCTCAGCGAATTTAGGAACATCCTGTAAGCGCGTAACAGAAAGAATATATTTTATCCCCAAATAACGAAGGAGTGCAGGCGAGCGGGCTGCGAAACGACTAAGAAACCGGTACTTAAGTCAGTTCCAAAACTATCTACTATTGGTAAGGAGATTCAGGAGAAAGCAACGAACTCGGAAATATAAAGACCTGGTACATCCTTGATTTCCGAGATACTCGATATCCCCAAGGACTCCATCATGTATGTTTCTTTTTTTGTCTCCGTTTCCGTGCAAAAGCTGAATGTTAATGTCAACTTCTAGGAAAGTACTACTCTAAATCCCAAAAAGAAAAGGAAAAGGAAGTATAGTCATCAGAAGAGACTAAGATACAACACAGCACGCAGCCATCTCAAAGCTTACCCATGCCAAGGAGAACCCCGTGAGTAGTCTCGAGTATCGCAGAGGATGCCTAATGTGATTACAGTACTCGTATGCCAGGCAACACAAAACAACCCTAGATTACGTGGCTATGCAGCCTATTCAACCAGAAAAATAATCAAAGATGGAAACAACATAGACTCGTAGATACCAAGATACAATACGCGAAGGAATGTAAACATAAATACGTGCTCCTTACGTAGAAATCCAAGATCAACACAGAGAATTGAACCCAAGCACATGAAACCGAATGATTCGGGATGAAGGAGAGGGACAGGAAGGACGAAAATAGAATTATAGGTGTATAAAATGGAACCCTCATCTCTTTTAAGACCCTTGAACCCTTTCCAGAAAATAGCAAAACAAATATCTACAATAACACCAAGACCTCTAATATTACACCCCTAACCCAATTCTCAATTCCCGATCCTAGCTGTCTTTCTCTTCCTTCGTTTCACTTGTGTCAACCTTCTTAACCTTCTAAGCATTCTTAACTTCTTCATCCCCAGAACAAAATAAATCCTCCGCCGAGTGTGCGACCCTCTCCTTCTCATCAGCATCGGCCGCGCAACCACCCACGCTAACCCTGAAATCATCGCTATAAGTCGAAGCCTGCTCCCCTACATTACTCAATTCAAGCAACTGCCCGTCGTAACCCAGCAAGGGCATAGCAGTCAAAAGCGGTAAATCCCCCTTTGAAGTAAGAATGGTTTGTAGAGGTGTGGTAAGAAGTGGTTTCTCCTTGCCAATGGGGTGCTGTGCGGCATCAGCCGTTAGTTCTTCCTTGGGATCGAGCGAGGCTGGGGTTTTTTCTTCGACGGGGTCGCTGGCGTATTCTTCCGGGCTGTGGTAGAGCTCGTTATGGATAGTGACAAAGGATTCACCGTCTTCCAGACCCGGGTATAACATCCAGTATCCGCGAGCACGCATAAGGGTTGAAAAGTATTCTAACCATGATGGATAATTTTTGGAGACCGTTTTTGGAATTGGAATGCTTGGAGCGAGCTTGTGTTGTGAATTCAGGGACCGAGCAACAAAATCATGTAACTCAGTCCATTTGTCCCCGAAGTACAGCGCCGCATTGCTGCTCGGTGATTGCCAGATGAATGGCGTCGTTGTCTTTTCGACTGTTGGTGGAGTAAATGTTGTTGAGTCGTTGAGATGGGTTGAGGGGAGTTCTAAGACTATCCCCATAAAATTGTCGCGTGACGAGGTAGACTTACTTTTGGAATATTTATATTCCAACATTGCGTATTTGAGATAATGGAAGAAATAAGGCGAAAGCTCCGTCTGAGGCGCGAGAACAAGTACATGAGATGTGGTCGGCTCAGCAGGCCAGAACGACTCTAAAAATCTGATGGAGTTCTCCTCAGGTGTAAGGTCGTGTTGTGGAATCCGGTGATGGAGGGTGAGCAAGTTTGAATTTCCTGGATCATCTTCTGTAGCTATTGGCCAGCGAAACGTTTCTAAATATTTTTGGGTTGGTTCATCAATCTTATATGGCAGCTCAATTGTTAGACGTGGGTAAGAAGAGTGCATGTAATCTGCTTTTTTTAGAGAGTCCAACAATCGCATCAGTGAGCCCGAAGCCGCCGGTTGAGCATGAACAACGATATCGATAGTAATTTTATTCCAAGCTTTTGAATGTTAGAATCGCGATTGATGATACAATGTTGAACAACTTACCACTCAACGAAGCGCTATCCAACATGGTAAGCCACATTAGATTTTGCTCGGTATGAGCAGGCAATTCAATCACGGTTCGACCATTAGACACGGCTCTTGGTTTAAGGCCTTTAAACATGAAAGGCTCTTCCTCGCCTGATTTGTCCAGAAAAGTTGCTTGGGGGTGGATATAAGTATTTATATGGTTGAACGCCGCAGAAACACTGACTTCCATTCGGTGATCAGAACTCTCAAGGGAGAAATCTGGACGAGCGTCTGCTTGAAGTCAGAAGAGGGAGGTGGGAAATACATGACTCGATCATAATACCGTGAAAAGTTATTTTACAGGACTTTGTTACGCCATTAACGGATTTTAGTATATCCATTTCAATGTCGTCCCGACCCATTAAAACGAAATGGACAAAATTTCGTTCTTGGAGGGCCATTTCACAGGCTATGGGTAACTATGCTAATAAGCTTCTAGCACAGTCCATTGTAAGATACCAACTCACAAGCGTTGCAGCACTCTTCAAACTGGCAGCTGCAAATAGCACATTCCGATTGAGTAATTGGGAGCCCCTTGTCCCAGAAACTGACTTCAGTGTCGAGGCTAACTTGTAGAACTTGATAGGGCCACTGAAATCGTGCCATACTTCTTTGCCTGGGCCATTTTTTGAACCGTTCGGGAGACTCGGTGGTTTCTTTCCAGGCTCTTTTGGAAGAGTCACATCCGGAACGGAGGTAGGGAGATATGTAGTGTCTTCGACTGGATGGTAATGCGGCCTCGGCCTTGGTTGACCAAGATCAGTCGGCATGTTATAGAAGAAATAATACAGGGCAACTAGGGCCAAAAGCCCTAAGCCTAATCGCTTGAACGTCCGTCGATATCGCAGATGAGAGGGGGTCCGCCGCTGCTGCCATATTATGCGCAGGCCCAAAGGGCTCTTCATGCCGGGTTTATATTCATCGTCCTTTTTCCCCAGCTCTTCGTCGCCGGGAAAGAATCTCGGGACCATGATGGACTCAACTCGATTCCCCCGGCCCGTTCAAGCTCAGCTCAACAGATTCTGTGCCATGCGATTTATGTATACGCCACTATTCCAAACGTGTATAGCTGTAGTTCGAAGTTCGACGAAGTGGGCTCGGTTCGCAAGTGGTGGCACTTGACAGGTCGCGTGTCCGACTGGGGTTCTCAAGCTGGCTTTAGGTAGCAAGGCTCGCAATGGGATCTGAGGAGGTTCTGGGACTTTTTGGAATGTTTTGCTGTCGTTATTCAACTTGAGACGACTTGTTCTCTAGCCAGTGATAGCCAGTGCTCGCTCGTCCCTATTTCCGTTCATACCGAGACCTCGTTCTCGGCCGCTACTGGTCACAGCTTGATTGTCAGCCTCTTGTTAATCAGCCTCATCGGCTCATCTTCGGCTACTGGGTACAGCATCTACCCCAAACACCAGCGAAGATCACCTGCATCCAACTGCCCTGTCGCTTTGGTCTCTGACCCACTTTGAACCAATAATCTTTGTCACAAAATTTTAGTTTCAGTACGGAGGTAAAGATCTATCATATTTCTCTTGTTTGTTTCATACAAGAAGATTCAACACAACGACAGGTAATTTTTTGTTGGTGGTGAATTTTAGGTTTTGTGCAGTAAGGTCATACACAGTACTGCTTCTTCCACCAATTTGGTGTTTAAACTGCCACAAAGAGCACAGTCCTTTGAAAACCCCTCCAATTCTCTATGACATAAGACATGCATGCATCATAACTCAAACCCCCTTTCCCAGCCCCTTATTCTCGCTTAATATTGTTTAGTATGTTTTCAAGTCAATCATGAGGGTGCTAAGTCTCCCTGCATTGATCAGCACCTCCACATCCTTAGAGGTTAAGTACGATACACTATTGCAGAAGAAGCATATTTTATATGGAGTGACCACGTAAAGGTGCAACAACTCTGTCTATATGCCCAACCAGGCTCTACGGGAACCAACATCCGAATTTGTACCGCTGAGACTCGGCTTTGAAAGACAGATCTCTTCCTTCACAAGTGTTAGAAAAATATAAAGAAAATACTAGTAGACTTTGATTTGACTTAATTTTCTCTTGAATCCACCCAAAAGTGTTTTTTCGATTGCATTGTGATAAGTTAGTTGTCAAAAGATATAAAAAGAAGCATGATTATTGCGAAGTTTTTTCCGTCCCATACTTGAATATACGAAAACTAATATGTAGAGGGAGAGGGGGAGAATGGGTATAGTAGTATAGTGGTAAAGTAGGGTAGGAAATCGGGGTATTAGAGTATTAGGGTATCGGGGTACCGGGGTACCGGGGTATAGGGGTAATGGTAGTATATCGGGGTATATAGGTATCAGGGTATAGTAGTCTAAGGGTATAGTGGTAGAGACTTATAGGACGGAATAGTAGGAAAGACAAAGTACTTATAGGGAGGGATAAGTAGGGAGCGAGGGATTACTAGGTAAAAACAACTAAGTACTTATACGTAAAATGTGGTTTATAGAGGTAATAGGAGCCGATATTATCGGTTCCTAAGCTCCTGTAACGAATACTCAAACTGGCTAACTAAACTTGGCTGGGTGTTCGCTGGTTGGTATGCTATGATAAGAAGAAGACTATCGGGTTGTTCACTTGGAAGTGAACTCGTTACTTGTATCAAAGATGTCAAACTAATATGATAAGATTGATAACTAAGTTGAGCACGAAGCTCCTATCTAATGGCAGACATGCCAGTCTTATATAGAACCTTCGTTCTCCAAATCCCAAATGTCGACAGCGCGCTCGTCGTGCTGTCGCGCGCGACAATTCGCTTGTCGCGCTGTCGCGCTTTTATCACGTGACTATGAATGCTATGAAATCCTTGGATACTCAACAACCCTGAGTAACCACTGCTATGATATAACTACTCTGGATGTATCTGTCCTGTCAGAACGCCGTTTGGACTAACTCGTCACATGCTAACACGTGATTCGTGACAGCTCCTAGTAAAATTATATTCGCTTAGCGAGAAGGTAGTTAAAGTATACTAGTAGTATACCTATCTAATTATCCCTACTATTTTATACTCAATTACTTATAGCGTAAGAAATAATTAGAATAGACTAACTAACGAGCTCTTAATTTAAGTTATTCTAATTAACTAGACCTCCTAATCTTAATTAATCACTTGATTAATTATGTAATCTAATTAAATTAATTAATACGGGCCGAGCCCTCGGACTAGTAGACCGAGGGCTCGAAGGGTGCTCGGCGGACCACATGCTAGCTAAGCGAGAGCCCCTATACTATATACGATAAAGGACAGAGTAGACAGCTAAAGTAGGTTAAAAACGCTTTAAGAAGCCTAGAATTAAACGAGAAAACTCTACCATATAAGTAGGATTAGAGGTAAGTCATATAATCGCACGTAACTCTTTATACTAGTTATAACATCTAGGGAACGCTCCTTGTCCTTAGTTATTAAATTACCTATTATATCTTGACTCTTGTTTTCCCTATTTATTAGTGTTTTAATAGGTTCCCTAAGTGTATCAGTAGAATTTTAAAATATATATTATTATTCTAATTACTTAGATTAACTAAACGCCTCTTAATCTATTTAATCACCTAAAGTCGCTAATCTAAATCAATCAATTTAATTATGATTTAGTTGATTATTAATCGATTAAGTGATTAATTCGTTCTCACGTTGATTACTTAGGGCAGATAATATTAGATACGAACGGATAATATCGGTCCCTAAGTTCCTAGAAGGTTATATTATCTACTAAATCGGAAGTGATAGAAAGAAGGAAAGGTTATAAAAAAAAAGAGATCTTATAGGTATTTTATATTTCTTGTTAACTATTATGTTTATTCTACGCGTGATTATACTAAGTTTTGGTATAAAAAGTGCAAATGGCTCAAACTTAATCGTAAGTACTATATCCCTTCTAGAATCAAGAGGATCAGGTGTAAACGTGTAATCCTAAGTATCCACTTTGACAAACTTTCCCCCATAAAACAAAATTGTTTAGCTAACCAGGCCGCGTTTCCAAGCATTTGAGCCTTAAATCGACCCGTTCATCGCATCTACTTATATCTACTTTGAACACACACTTGCACCTGATCTCATACGTCTAGAAGAGATAACTGTATCTTTTCGGTAACTTCAAAAACACGTTACACAAAATATGCAGAGATATTGGTATCGAATAGCTAATCCCGGATGTCATGTGTACTTGACGACAGAAGCTCAACAACAACTTCTTCCCAGGGATGCCTCAATTTTCCAAAACATGTAATCATGGATTTCTAGCTGAAAACTATCATTCCTTTAACTGTCAACACCAATTGTCGAAGGGTATAAGAGTCCTAGTCTTATATCTGCACACAATTTTACCAGAAAGGTTGGTGTAATCGCAACAATTATGCGAGCAATCTGGGATAATTGAATTCAATATCTTTTTATCAACCTACACGTTTTGACGTGATCAAGTTACTTGTACTAGATTCTTGGCATCATGACTTTCCAGAGTGTGTGCAGAGTAATCACTAGGTCTATTTCATACTCATACCAAACCGCTTCGCTACGACAGCTGGAGGCTAAGCATTCATCTAACTCCGTCTCCACAAGGGCTTCTTCTTTGGGCCTTTTACACAATATTCCACAGCTGCTCATACCTTAAAAACTTCGACTGCTAGGGTAACTTAAATCTCGTTTTGAAAGAGAAGTGCTGTTTTCTCTCTGATACCCGTAATCTCCCAGACACCGCTAAAACTAGCACTAGCTCTGAGTCAAAGAGATATTACCCACCTCCAAGTTTAACGTTCAGCAACGCTACAATGCTACTACAAAGTGCATTTACGAAGCGATCTGCTTAGCTTGATGTTCCAAGTTGGGCACATGTGGCGTTTGATGAATTTGCGTCCAAATCCAGTGACACAAAAATGATATCAGTGTAACCATTTTCCGTTTCTGAAGAAACCAGAGAATCTCTCTATTTGTGTCCAAAGATTCCACGGGTACGGGCGAATTCCTGGCAGCCGAAATTGCCCTTAAAGAGAAAGAAAGAGAAAAGCCCAAGGCTCTGGCGAAAACTTGGGGGAGCCAGTGATATAACGGCATATCCCCTCAGCTGCGGCCAGGAGCTCCGTGGCCCAAGCGTAGTGCCAAGAGTGCCAAGCGATCCAATAGGACCCTGTATTTTGAGCAGTTTTGGCTATATTTGGCAAAAACTATAAGACAACGGCCTTCTTTTATAAAAATAATTGATATATCTGTTATAAGCGTAGTAGGTTTACTATAGAACTCTCACTCTTGTACTTTTACAAGTAATCAAGTCTAATACACTCCTTTTTAGAGCGTACTATCTAGTATAAACTAGTACTAGTACTATTATAGCCTTAATACGTTTTCAGGGTTAATTTGATAGTAGAATGTATAGACTACGAGTAACTGTATCTTTTATATCTTGTTATATATCTTTTAGTATTATGGGGGTCCTCTAATAAGTAAATAAAGATGTTGAAAAAGTTGATGTTCCACCTCCTGCAAGCGACAATTCACGGAGCTCCTGGCCGCAGCTGAGGGGATAAGGAGAGAACTTCAAAGGGGGAAGTGAATTCAAACTATCTTTTGTGGACACGTCTGCTTTTGAACATTACTGTTAAGTAATCTAATAAGGGACGCAGTTATGTCACAAAATACCATTCCTGAGGTGATTTTGAGAGAAATATCGACGACTGTCATCTTTTATCGTGGTATCTTGTCTTGAGTACTAGATTCTACTAGCCTCCATTTCTAAAATTTAAAACGGTATTCTACGTATTAATTTCCTACCCATGAATCCCCAGTAGGAGCGGGCGTAGATAAGGTATCGATAACCGGTTGTTGATATCCTATCTATATTTTTGTATACGCTCGGTTATGGATACTCTATCGATAATTATTGATACCTTATCTATAAACAGTTATTAATAAATAGTTACTAAAATATCTAAAGTTATTAATAAATTACAACTTTTTTCTATACAGTTTTATACTTATTTCTATATTTATTTCTATACTTGTTTTTATACTTATTCCTATACTTTTATAGCTCGAATTACTTACTTAAATTAAGTATATATAAAGGTTATAGGTAGGGATAAAAAAACGACCAAGCATACGTATAGGTAGGGACAGGAGGGGGGACAAAAAACGACCAAGCACACTTATAGGTAGGGATAGTTGGGACGACTAAGTATACTTGTAGGTAGGGATAGTAGGAACGACAGGTAGGCAAAGAGAGGGCAGGGGAAGGGCAGCAATATAAAGATAGTACTTAGTAGTACTTGAAAGTACGTACATAGTAGGATCTAC